AACAATATTGCCTGACTTGACCATCGTTCCCAACTAGTTTTTCTGCAGGGTCCCTTCACTGGCTGTACTTGCACTGAAAAAAGACATAAAAAATGTATAAAAATTCACTCCAAAACACTTTCTACCCTAAGTACCTAAGCTCAATTTAACTACAATCTGTTGATTAACTATGCTAAGTTCAATGAACATTTTAGCATAACTAGTTGCTCTTCTACTGGATTCTGACAGTGCCTACTCATCGCTAATAATAATCAATAATGATGCTTCCAAAATGTAACCAAGCAACGAAGTTCATTTCTAGTAAACCATAATGCCAGGTCCCTTAGTGTGATAAATAATAATAAACTATTACAATATACAGCAATATATGAATTAATTCACTGGAGATGTACTAAAATGGGTAATAAAATATCCACTAATACTGTATATGTACCTGGATATGTTATTAAAATTACACTGAATAATAAATACAAATCTCACCTTTACGACAGGAAGAGCCTACCCAGTAGTAGCCCTCATCACACATACACCGACGGTTAATACACTTAGAGTTACTTCCGCAATAGATATCAAATATGCATATATCCATTCCATATACTGAAAAACACAATAACAAATAGAAATCACCAAAAAAGTGACTAGAAAGGATATTCAAGACATTAAAAAGAGCAACTATACCAAATGGGAGTTTAATCAGGTACAAAAAAAGGTAAAACACTTACTAGGACTACACACTGTGTAAAGTCTCTTTGAATATACAACTTGCGGGCATTGACAAAGGCTGTCCATACAGATTTCTTCAACTCGACAATCAGCGGTATTATTGCATTTTGTAGGAATTTTCCCATCTGAAAATAAATAATATTTCAATTTCCTGTTTGACATGCTACTGAAAACAGAACAAATCATGACAACTTCAGTTAAACTAGAGTAACCAGGGCAATACTGAACCAGTTTAAAATTCTTGTTTTACAAAACTGTTTAAATGGCCTATAATAAAGGCCATCAAATTTCTTTTGTCTAATCTATAAACTAATTATGTGTAAATACTGAAATAAAAATTGGTGAAAGAAAATAGTATATAACAATAAGATACTGAAATGAAAGCCAGATAGCAATGAAATTGGATGAAATGTAAATTATTCAGTCTGTCATAATGGTCTCAGCACCTACTTGTTATGCTGATGAACACTGCAGCAAATATCAGGACAGTGACGTTTCTGCCAAACTTCCTCATGGTCCCAGTATTCAAAAATGGTTGTGGGCCAATTTCTCAAGAGGTACAGAACTTCAACAAAGATCCAAATGTATTTTCTTGACTCCTGAAGATTATTTTGTTTCAGTGAGGTATCCTAAGGTCTCTTCTAATTATCTGGGAATAAAAAGGACATTTCACTTCTGACACTGGATGTTAAACTGTATATTAAAAACCTACCCTAAGTTAATAATTGCAGTCTGATACATTATACGCTATCCTGTATATCAGTTTCAATGAAAATATTAAATCAATGAGCATAAAACAGACTTCACAATCCACATTTTAATAGATCTAATAGATTTTAAAGTGCATAAAAAGAACCTACCCAATATTAACAATTTGTCTGATATATAATAAGCTATCTTGTAAACCAATTTGCTAGTATATATGTATATATAACCCTAGAGCTGTGTTGGCCTTTACCAGAGTGCCAAAAAAAATCCTAAAACTGCACCACATTTCTCAACTAAATGATACAATATGATTAGTCAAAATTCTACAAATCTCATTCATTAAGGCTTGCTTCGCCCACAATAAAAAAAAAACTGCACCAACCATAATACTATAATACTTGAAAATATACAAGTCAACCCTTGTATCTATTCCCCGATTCTAGATACATGCTACTCTATTAAGCAAAAAATGACTAAATTTATTCATTTCCTTTAAAGGTCTTTTAACTAATCACAGATCAAAGGCACCGATACTTACCAAGCACCAACTACATCATAAACTTGACTATTACATTCTAAACATCCTATAAGACCCTCCCATTACCTCAAAAGTGCCTTGTTGACGTCTTGTAAAAGATGCAAATAATAATCGTAATAACCTCAGTTATAATAACCAGTAATGAAATATAAATTAAACTCACTATCCAGAAAAAAATGACGTAAATGGATTATTAGTGGCCGGTAACTCCCATATGGTCGTTAAAAATAGACGCCGTTAATTGGTAAATGCGTAGATACGGTTTCTAGGAATTGGTGACCTCAGAGCAGGGGGATTTTGTTGCTGTTGTTGTTTGAGAGTGAGAGAGAGAGAGAGTGGCGTGTGTGTGTGTGTGTGTGTGTGTGTGTGTGTGTGTGTGTGTGTGTGTGTGTGTGTGTGTGTGTGTGTGTGTGTGTGTGTGTGTGTGTGTGTGTGTGTGTGTGTGTGTGTGTGTGTATGTGTGTGTGAGAGAGAGAGAGAGAGAGAGAGAGAGAGAGAGAGAGAGAGAGAGAGAGAGAGAGAGAGAGAGAGAGAGAGAGAGAGAGAGAGAGGGAGAGAGAGAGAAAGCGAGGGAGAGAGAGAGAAAGCGAGAGAAAGAGAAAGCGAAAGAGAGAGAGAGAGAGAGAGAGAGAGAGAGAGAGAGAGAGAGAGAGAGAGAGAGAGAGAGAGAGA